AGCAGAAATTGTTGCAGCAGATACATTAGCTGAAATAAATAAAAAATACTCACATTATTAATTGTAATTAGTAATCAATAAAATTTAAATAATAACAAATCCCATCGCAAGATATCTCACATAACATTAATATTAAGTATTTGGACAGTAATATTAATTTGTAAGTGATACCTTGTTACGATGATCAAACACTAACAATAACTCATGTCAAATAATAAAACTATCTTTGGATTGATTTATTATTCACATTTAAACCTTATAATTGTCACACGTTTATCATCACAGATGTGTGTGCAGTCTAAAAAAATATTAACCTTCCTTTGGACCGATTAAATATTTACACGAAAACATACACACAACCATCTAACATCCCTTATGAATAATCTACACAAGATAGGTTACTTTGGCAACATCTTGTGTCAATTAATCATTTAGAATGAGAGATAAACTTAATACCTTAGTATCATATTATTTGAATTAAATAATTGATTAACAATCAAAATAAATTCAAATTAAACAATTTTAATTCAAATTAACTAAATTTCCGAAAACTTAGTTAGGGCCCATGACTTAATTAATTAAATTAAGCATACAAAAGAATGGGCCTAACTAAATAAGCCGGCAAATAATGTTTTAATTCATATATTCAATTAAATCGTTCTTGGATACTTGTAGGCCTATAACTTAAGGACTTTAAGTGGGCTTGTGCCCTAGTTCAACCAACGAAAACCCCAAATCTAGCATGAAGTCGCCTTCATTTTCTTTTAGCCGATGAAACACAGAGATTTCAGGCTCGCCTTCAAGAAACAAAGCCGAAGCTTTGCTTGAATTGGGGTTCGTGCTCGCCTTTGAAATCGAGACTCAACCTCAAAGTTCGCCTGGGAACGAGTACGAGGCTTGTCTGAACTTCTCAAATGAGCCAACGAAGTTCAAGCTCGCCGAGGTTGAGCGTCGCTCTTGCCAGAAGTCGAGCTTCGAAATGCTCGCCTGAATTGAACCCGAGGTTCGCTTGATGTGAACCGAAGTTCAACTGAAGTAAATCCAAATCGAAGCTTGTAGAGCTCGCTTGAGGCTCAATTTAGAAGTTCGCCTGAGATCCGAATGTCGAGCTCACCTACAACGAGCGTCGACTACGCCTGAGTCGAGCCGAAGCTCACTTGAGTTGAGCCCGAGGTTCGCCTGATTCCGAACACGAGATTCGACTGAAATTCGAACACGAGGTTCGACTGAAGTTTGAACACGAGGTTCGTCTGGAGCAAACTGAAGTTCGCTAAAATCAAACCGAAGTTCGTCAGAAGCCTTCAACAAAGCTGAATCGAACACGAGGTTCATCAGAAGCAAACCGAAGTTTGCTGAATTGAACCGAAGTTCGCCTGATGTTCGAACCTCAAACAACCCGAAGTTCGCCTGAGAACGGGTAAGTCCTCAAACCCTAATTTTTCATCCATCCCTTAGGGTTTAGATCTGAAACGTCGTCGCCGCTTAGGCTACAGCCAACGAACACCCCTTAAGGTTTCGTTCTGAAAACTGCCGTCGTCGCCCCTGCCTTCATTTGACAGTGGGGCCGCCATCGATACATCTCCGGCAAGGAGTTGGTGAACGACGACAAACCAAAAAAACATAAAACCATTTTTCTGTTGATTTTGAACTCAATCCAGATCCGAAACTTGATATGTTGCACACACTTTGATCTGAATCTGAATCCATTTCAGATCAAAACATCCGAAAAAATCAAACCAAAAAGAAATGAACTTCACAGTTCCTGAGTGCAACAGATCCAAAAAACAAAAGGAAAACCAAACAAAAAAAATGAACTTTTAATGCTCATCCGTGAACAGTTCTTAAAAACCACAGATTAAGATCAAAAAACTCAATTTTAAATCTTAAACTCCTAAGAAGTAATCACGGTGGCTTTGATACCACTTGTTGTACTTAAGCATGATTAAATCATAGAGATTAAACATCAATAAGAGCGAAAGCTATACCTGAATCCATTGCTTGGATCTGAAGTAGGTTTTTGATGATCTTCTAATCTTAAGGCTTCTCCTTATGTATCTATTTAGATGGGGATAAGAGAATAGATAAGAAAAATTCCTCAAGGACCCAAAATATGGGACCAATAGGGGGGACAAGTGAGGTGTCCCCCCTCCTATTGGATAATGAGTTGGCCATCATTAATGATGGCCAACTCATTATCCAATAGGAGGGGGGACACCTCACTTGTCCCCCCTATTGGTCCCATATTTTGGGTCCCTGTAGCAAAGCTCAATAGAGAATGTGTTTTTTTAACCCTAGATTTGGGACTACCATAACCCCATATTTATAGGTGTTGTACTTTTATAATTTGGCCCCTCATTAAATTATAATTATAACCTAGTATCTGCACATTTAGCCTATGATTTATTTAAACACTCATTAACCACTACAAAAAAAAGAAGAGTTAGGGGCAATTATTTTCGTCACTTTTAATTCAATTAGAGGCAAATAAATAAAATTATCTGCCTCTAATTACATGAGTGGCAAATCTCGTATATGCACCTAAATGTGGTGTTGCTAATAGTTAATAGGGGCAATATTGCACAAACTTCCGCCCCAAATACTCAATGCGCCACCTCAGCATGTTTATTTGAAAAAGTATTAGAGGCAAATATAATCGACGCTAATAACTTATTAGGTGCAGATGAAACTGCCCCAAATAGTTGGAATTAAAATAAGATATTAATTTAAGGTACAAATATAATTGCCTCTAATAACTTAAATTTGATATTAATATTTTTAATTTTTAATAAATCTGGAAAAAATAATTAATTTTTAATTCATATAATTAAATTGAAAAACAAACATAAAATAATTGAAACATGAATAATTTTGATTAATAAAAAGTCAATCCAATTTGATTACATAATAATGTACCAAACTTGCTTAAAAAGCATGTGACAAATAGTACTTAACAATAACTTAAATAACCAACAAAGTTGACCTTCAACATGAATGTAAAAATATCTAACTTTAATCTCTACGGATGTGCGTTCCCTGGAGTGATCATCTGTTTAAACTCATCCAACTCCTTTTGCTGTCGCTCATACTTTTCCTCAAGTTCTGAATATTGAGATTGCAAATTAGCATATGCTCGCCCAGTACGTGATCGAAGTGATGAAGATGTTGGCTGAGTTTGTGCCACCCAAGGAATCATTTCTGGCGTCACCCCTCTTTCATAACCACGAACTCTACCACGAGTCTCTAAACCCCTTGTTGCTACATAAGCTTGTTGCCTTAGTTCTGATGTTTCCTCGCCATAGGTTTCAACCAAACTCGTTAATTCCTGTAAGATCTTAACCTGAAAAAAGAATTCACTTCAACAGTCAAAATGGACACAATATGAAGTAAAGCAATTTTTTTACATGTATTACTTGTCTAAATACAAATGATTAAATTTCAAACTCACCGCCAATTCCTCCGATGCATCATATATCCAACTTTTGTTTTCATCTCGCCGATTGTGCACTAAATAAAACATCTCAATAGGATCGAGTTTGCGACCATGTTTTTTCTCCTATTTGTAAAACATAGAAAAACAATCATAAATTTTATTTAATTAAAGAAGCAACATCTCAAAGAAGCAGACTTCAACAGTAAATGTAATGTTATGGACATCAAATGGTTACTTGTAAGAATATCTTACAGTATTCATATTTTTGTGTTAGGGTCGGTCTAGTTCTCATGATCATTTCTATCAGTGAAGGGTGGGGAAAAAGAGAGGAAATGGTGTCCATTTTGCCTTGTATCAGTGGCTTGTTTTCGAAGGATTAGTGACTGGAAAAAAATTTCTATACTGAGTATCCAACTCTTGGGTTCATCAACCATTATAAATCAATAATACGCAAATGACAATATTTCAAGAAAGTAAGAAAAGAGACACTGCAACTACCAAGGATTTATCCATTAAACTACAAGGTCCATATGTATCAGAAGCATGTTATACATGATGCAGAAAATAGTAAAAACTCAAAATTAAAAAGAAAACTGTAGGACTCGAGCAAAATGGCAGAGGACTGTGCATGTCCAAAATCTGATAAGTCGACTTATCAGACCTGATAAGTCGACTTATGAACATGCACAGGGACTGTGCATGTCCAAAATCTGATTTTTCAGAGGTCTTTACAAATCTGATTCCGCGCCGAAGTGGATGAGGAGTTCTGGTTGTTTAAGTCTTGAGTGATTATGTGAACCATGATTTTGAACATCTAAACGGCGTCACATCCACGTTAACATCCAACTAGCTGTTGTTATCATAATCTCTCCTACCTCATGCTAACTGTGCATGCTCACACTATTAGTTATAAGTTTATACAGTGTTTATGTTCCTCCATGCAAAAAGGAGCGTGAGTTCTTATCACAGCATACTTAGCTCCCAAGTTCAATGTCTTCTTCCTCGTGCAATGGCCTTATCATCAATTTGCAAAATAAGGATGCACTTAGACCTCATATGCTGTGCCCAAAGTAATATTACTGAAAAGCAAAGATGATACATATTTGCAAGCAATAAGTATTACGTTAAGGTAATGAATGAAGGAGACACAATAACCTGATTTCCTGTTTTTCTTTCTCTCTCAGCTCCAGCAAGATCAGCTATTGTGAGCACAGTGTCATGTGCATGTAAATCGTTTTTATCAGAGGTTTTCCAGTGTACAGCGAATGTTTATTATACATTGAGATCGACTGAAAGAAACAAGGGAAATAATTGAGTGCAATATAAAAATATAAATAGAGAAACAAAGCTTATTTTGAATTGTGTTGTAATTCCACATTATTCTTTTATCGTTTTATTTGAAAAATGAAACACAAGGACAAGAATCCATCAAGCAAGAACAAGATGGAGGGGAACAAGACTACAAGAGGTAGAAAAGCAGCAAGTTTGATACTGAAAAAGATAAGCTTCAACCTCAGTATAGCAGCGTAAGGCTTTAGTTTCTACATACCTTGATTGGTTATTTGCACTTGTTGCAGCTGTAGCACGTTTCAGCAGGCAACGTACAACTAGACTCTCTGCCTCAGTTGCATCTGAAATCCTGATCTGGAACAAGTCACTTTTTTAGTATAAGGAAACATCCCCTTCATGTCATGCTTATGAAAACAATACAATGGTGAAATGTAAATGACACTGAAAGGTTACATTTGTAGACTACCTCTTGAAGACCTTTTATTGCTGACTGCTGAAACGATAAATCACCTCCATCCGGAGACAAGTCAAAAATCCTCTCTCCTTTCCCTCGTTCAGAGTATATTTCAAACATAGATAAGTAATATGACCTGTAGTAGTACCCACAATAGATGATTGTTGGTTAAAAATCACATGATGAGCAAGATCATGAGATTTCCTGAATGTGCAGTAACATTTTGAGCAAACTGTTTAGCAAATCTCTCATAATACAAAAATATACGTCATCATTGATGATCTTCGGATTGAGAATATTTTTATGCGGATTAATATTTATGTGTTTGCATGCCAAAAAAATGTTCTATTCTAGAGTCATTTTTTAAATCAAGCAAATGAAAATTAGTGTCTTCATCAAATCACAAATATGCTCTTCAAAGCATTAGTAAACATGTTCCAGGAATTTGGTAAGATGATAGAAGCAAATATACTTACATAAATTAATACATGCCTCATAACGTAGGAGGAAGTAAAGAAATTTTTAAAAATATGTCTGCTGAAGCACAATAAAAGAACTAAGCATGGTGTACACTGGTTATTTAAGCATGGTGTACACTGGTTATTGAGATTTCAGACCAGTTGGGATATGATTTTCTGAGTCTGCGTTCAGTTTTAAAAACAAAGTGACAAACTAGACCACACATAAGATCAGAAAGACTGGAAAACAAAATACTAAGTATAAGGCTGTAACCAAAAAAAGTACCTTGATATGGGATGATTTGCACTTGCCGTTGCATGACTGGAAAGCAAATAGTCCACAATTAAGTATTACTGAAAAATATTTAGCTTCTTTAATTTTTTGAACTATTGCACATTTGATCTCAAAAAACTCAATCGAATTATCAAGTAGTTAACCTCAAAATATGATCAGTGAAGCTATTAACGAGAAAATCTGCTAACGTAACTAAAATTATACGAGGGATCATGATTTGCATATGAAGTCATCAACAGTACAATCTGAACGATATTCTCATATGAATTGAGAAGGTTGTGATGCAATATCTTTCCATCAAGTAACAAACAGAGGGAAAGGAGAAGAGTCGAGTGTTGCTTACATTTGAAAAGAACTTGTCTTATGGGAAGCAAGGCGAGTCATAGTTCTTGACAACGCATGAATACAGTAGCGAATAAGATGACTACAAAATCTTATGGGTGAAATCCGAGTATCAAAATGCAACGGGTTGCATGTTTGTGTATCAATGAATACTAAGCAAATATACCTCCAGAATCAGTTAATATGCAATAAAAGCTAAAAAAAAGTAGTATCTTTCCAGTTTAAGAAAAATAAACAAAACTACTCTATTAATATTCTTCCAACAAAATCACCAAGAACTGATGATTCAAAGGTTGAAGGTGCCAAAATTCATTCTAATTGAACCAATCAGATCATAGATTTTATTCCTTCATATAAAACAATAACGACACATTTCCATCTCAATCAAACTTCATATCTATAATTACATTTAAATTCAGTTGAAGTAATGAGAATTTAGCATTTTTTCTATAGTCTGACATAAATCTCAACTTTGCTACATTTCTAGGACACAGACATATGATAAACCAATTTACATGCCAGATGCCATAATCTAATAACTTATAATGATCTTAGGAGACAAATCTTGTTTTACTTTTTCAATGTCCAACATCTTACAATGATCATATGAACTAAATATTTTACTAATTTTATCTATCTAAAGTGTGATAAAAAACACATGGAAATCGCAATTTAACAAAGTCTCATTTCATCATCAAAGAAAAAAATTAATCAAGAGGTATTGGATGATGGCAACTGACATGAGTCATGAGGCTGAAAAAGTACCAATTTATGATCACTGGACTTCAAATATGAGAAATATATTGTTTTTAAATCGAATTTACATTTGTTATTACATATTTCGAGACCAGCATCATAGTACCTATTTGTACTTTTAAATTTTTTTAATAGATGATGTTTAAAAAAATAATCTTCACTAAAAGATCAAAATCTACAATAAACTACAAATTCCACACCAAGATCTAATTGCAGAGAATCAAGAGTTAGTCGATTCAAGCAATACCTCATCGTACTCTTTCTTATCGGCCTTGGGTTGCTTCAAAGGCTTCGCCTTTCCACCTGGAAAAAAAACAGGCAACAAAATCAAAATTTGAGTTCTATAAGATCAATCTCCGACGATGAATTAGGGTTACAAAGTGGAATTAGATCAAGAGAATTACCTTGTTTGGAATTAGATCAAGATATTACCTTCCTCGATAAAATGGTATCTGTCTCAAATTTCAACCTCTCATCATCCAATTCCCCCATACGCTTCCTGTGGTACTCCAAATACAACTCTCTAACAACCCAAAGAAAACCTCAATCAGTAACAAAAAACAACAAAGCACAAACCAAAATCAAACCCCAAAAGACAAACGACCAACCTTATCTCAAGGAAAAGCGAAAGCAACTTCGAACGGGCGGGTGGGAGGCTGTCGACGGTTTTGAACGGTGGGTGGGTGGCTGTCGACGGCTTCAAACGGGCCGAAATTTGCTTCCTAGATCCTGCGAGAAATTACCTTTCGAATCGAGGGAGGATCAGTGACGGCGGCCGGCGGGATTCTGAGAGAAGGGGGGGATTCTGAAGGGGGATTTCTGAGAGATAGTGGAGATAAAGATAGAATGAGAATTTTGAGAGTGAGGTGGGGATTGTGAGAGAAGGGGGGAGTTTTGAAATTTGAAGGGAATTTGTGAGAGTGAGGAGAAGCGGGTTTAGAAAACAAATTTCGGCCTAATTTTTATAGAAGAATAGATTAACCCTAATTTTTTATTATAAAAAAATTGAAAAACAATAGGGGCAGAAGTATGTGCCTCTGTAGGGTGTTTTTTTTGGGGGAATAGAAGCGGGTTTGTTTTTTAGGGTTTAGAAAACATTAGGGGCGGATATATATGCCTCTATTTAGTCTAAATTATTTAGTTTGACACCGTTATTATTTTTAATTCCCGCCAAACTTATAGGGGTATTATGAACCGCCCCAAATAATAGTAATAGGCACATATTCAACATCCGCACCTAATTCATAATTAATAGGGGCAAATCATTATTTCTGCCCCTAATAGATCGCCCCAAATGCTCACTTTTTTTGTAGTGAACCCAAATTGATTGATTACTTTAAGCGGATTATCTTCAAGGATAGCAATACATACTGATTAATCATATGTACCTACAAATTAGATTTAATTAGATTTAAATCCAAGAAGAAGTTGCCCCCCAATCGGCCATCATCAGCTGAAGATGCTTGAATTGATTACAGAAGTCTAATAAACAATTTCTTATTGAAACCTTTTTTTTTCTTCCTGTTCGGTTCTTAAAACTCTAGATGATCACGTTTCTGTCAACATTAAAATTTTGCTTAACAATATTGTAATATTCTATTAAATACTCATTCAATCCACTAATATTATAAACGTACTTATTCCCATGCTCACAATTTAATTATGAAATTCAAAGCGGATCTGAATTAGTAGTGCTACTTTTCTTGCAAATAGTACTGAAACATCCCGCGTGTTTAACAAAGTTATCAAACATGTACACATTTTCAAGGTTTGGATCATGTCAAAGTGCATCCTATGCTTTTCAAACCATACAACTTTTGTATTAATTAGGATTTGATGGTGGCACTTACAAGTAACTAAACTTTGAACATTGACTTTAACCATGAAATGGGGGCCAATTAGGCCAATTACAGAAAGTTCTTTGTCCACATGAGATGAATGCAAAATAATTTCTTGGGCTTTTTGATGACATACATGCTTCCTTGTGCCAGGACATTTGTCATGTCAAGGAACTAGGTGAATCTACATGTAGTAATAATACCAAAAATTTACAACGTTTTTTTACCTTATTAGGCTATATAAGATGGTTGAGAGTAAAACCATGCATGGTCGCGTTTGACGCTGCGATAATTAACTAAAAATTAATTAGTTTTTGCATTACTTTTATATTTAAAGGTCTTTTTTTATTTTTTATTTACCTTATCTAAATTGCATAGACATACATATTCATTAAAATAACAAGTCTAATTCTAGCTAGAATGATTCCACAACGCACTCATTTTTTTTTTATTCTCCTTTCTATCATCCCATTGACAAAAAAAAATGTGAAGTTGAAAAATGAGAAATACTCATCTAAAATAATTACATATTCAATCAATATAGGCTGTCGCTTGTCTCTTTCTTTCCTTAACCAACATCTCTACATATGATAACATTGTGAACATTCCAAAGGGCAAAGGGATCTCTGCCAACATTATTAGCTCTTCATCAATCTCATGAGCTGTGCTTAGTAACTTCCAAAATTTTGAATATACACGTCCTCAAGAGGCGACCAAAACCAGTCAATGTCACAGAAAGGAATTTCACAATTAAAACCAATATTTTCACTTTTACAAGATATGTACAAACAATTATGTCTTAATTTATTAGTTGCACTAAAGCACCTAAAGAGTTCTATAAAATGTATATCTTCCCAACCTTAGTGCTAAAGAACAAAACTTTCATATCTAGATATCCTCCATCTATCAAGTAAAGAAATTTAGTACAGAACAACGTTTGAGAATTATATAGCTAAGTAACGAATAAGGGTAAATTACACTAAACCTTCAAGAACTTTTTGCATTTTGTAGTAAATCCCCCAAAAAAATTTAAAATCACAATAAGTTTCCAATAGCTTTAGGTATTGCAGAAAATCCCCAATAAGTTCCCGTGTTCATGTGGATAACTTCATAACCCCCAATAAGTTTAAAAAAAAAACTCAAAAAAGGATTTTGAAAGTTATTGGGAGTTTAGTGTAATTTACCCAAAAGATATTACAGGTTAACTTAGTTCGATTTTGAAAGTCATCGGGGGTTTACTACAAAATATTGAAAGTTATTGGATGTTCAGAGTAATTTACCCTAATAAATAATATAATGTACATGGTTTTTTTTAATGACACGACATCCATGAAAAATACCAATATTGCAGCTAAGCAAAGTTTTCCTCCTACAAATTTTTATCCAAACACACTGCACGTGACAAAAAAAGAATTATTTTCTACTCCCATGCTCTTAATAATATATTTGAACAGATTCAATAGGCCCCCCCAACCTATGGACTTTTGGTGCAATCCAATTGCATACAATCCCATGGAGTATTTTATTTTGGGAATTTCTACGGAAAATCTCAAAGGCAAGACTCCTCGAGTAAGATCCAAACCTTATATTTGAGCAAGAAAAAAACAACAAATATCTACTAAATTTTATGGCTTTAAAAATGGCGTAGTAGATCATGAAGTCATTTTGAGAACATACCAAAAAATGCAATGCCAAAGGCCAAAATAGCTAGCATTTGTATGGACGGCGTATCATGCGTCACGCTATCACTTTTATGGTGAGGTTAGAGGAATGTTGTTGATTAAATATAAAAGAGTATGAAAAAAAACTAAAATTAGATTGATGAATATGTATATATTGATGGATTGACATGTCACACGAGTAAGTATAATTGCAATATTACAATGAAATTTAAGAAAATGTAGATCTTAAAGTATTTAACATAAAATTGCTTTTTGCATTTGAAGACTCTTTCCAAATCATATCTGAGTACGTTTAAGTACTTCAAAGACCTCAAATTCATTTGATTTGCATCATGTACAACACTGACTTATCAATTACCTTGGCTTTATAAGTAAGATGTATAACTACGCCAAACACAAATATTTTTACATCCTATAGAAATTTAAAAGTATCCCCATTTATATCATATACACCTTCATTTTTAGTTATTGGACATGTCTCATGAATAACCACCGAAGCATTTTTCAAATTATGGATATGTCACACACGTAATTAAAATTTATTTCTTTTGAGTGTTGATATGTCACACAAGTAATTGAACTATTTTTCTTCTAAGAAAGTAAATTTATTTTTCTTTTGATTGCTTGTTTTTTTCGAACTATTAATATGTCTATCAAACAAAAGAAAGTAATTCATGTAGATAATTTTTGAAAATTTCTGATCGAACTTCACTTTGCAACAAAATTGGCTCGTTTTTGGTGTATTTAATTTGCTTTGTAGAATTATGATCCACACATCAGCATGCTTCTTCCATAAAAAAAAAATGCAATAGAGATAGGAAAGTTGAGAAAGTTAGCTACATGAGATTTTCCTCACTTTTCACTTCAAACTAACCGTAACCAATTAGAAACTACGACCGGTTTCCTCTATTTTTCAACCTCTCCTCTGCTTCCAAATCTATAACAAAAAAACAAAAAAGGGCATTTCCCTGCTAGCCCCTTAAAATTTCAACAAGTTGAAATAAGGCCCTCAAATCCTTATTGAAAATTTCCCATATTAGCCCATTAAATAATTCTTCCATTGATAAAATAAAAAAATAACAAAAAAGGGAAAAAAGAAAGTTGAAATCCTCCTAAAAAGGTTACAAAAAAGCTTTGCTACATAGACCCAAAATATGGGACCAACAAGGGGACATGTGAGGTGTTCCCCTCCTATTGTATAATGAGCTGGTCATCAATGATGATCATATCATTATGCAATAGGAGGGGGACACCTCACATGTACTATGTTGGTCCCATATTTTGGGTACTTACAGAATTTTTCGGTTAAAAAAAAGTACTTTTCTTGTAAATCCCACCCCCTTTATCCCCTTTTTATTC